ATCCCGATGTTCCCACGAGGAATCCTGACATTCCCACATGGGGTCCTGGAATTCCCACGTGGAATTTGGACAGTCCCACGTGGAATTTGGACGTTCCCACCGGGATCCTGACTTTCCCACGTGGAATTTGGATGTTTCCACGTGGAATCCTGGTGTTCCTACAGGATCCCGATGTTCCCACACGGAATCCTGACCTTCCCACGTGGAATCCCGATGTTCCCACGTGAAATCCCGACGTTCCCACGTGGAATCCTGGTGTTCCTACAACATCCTGGCGTTCCCACGTGGGATCCCGATGTTCCCACACGGAATCCTGACGTTCCCACGTGGAATCCTGACGTTCCCACGAGAAATCCTGACATTCCCACATGGGGTCCTGGAATTCCCACATGGAATTTGGACAGTCCCACGTGGAATCCTGACCTTCCCACGTGAAATCCCGACGTTCCCACGTGGAATCCTGGTGTTCCTACAACATCCTGGCGTTCCCACATGGGATCCCGATGTTCCCACATGGAATCCCAATGTTCCCACGTGGAATCCTGATGTTCCCACACATTCCCTGACATTCCAGGGATCCCCTGGAATTCCAGTGGGATCCCCCCAACATTCCACCGAGATATCCCACAATTCCAGCTCCCCCACAATTCCAGCAAGATTCCCCCAAAATTCCAGCGGGATTCCCCAAAATTCCAGCGGGGTCCCCCAAAATTCCAGAGAGAAGCAAGGAATAAAACCCGGGAATTTTCCAGCAGGAATTGGAGATGTTGGAATTGGGGCCTTGGGGGGTTTTGGGGTCCCCCCCACTGTCAGGGTTTTGGGGTTCTGTGGGATTTTGGGCACTGCCAGGTTTTGGGGCAACTCGGGATTTTGGGGTCCCACTGGAATTTGGGGTCCAATGGGAATAAAGAGAATTTTGGGGTCCTGCAGGATTTTGGGGTTCTGTGAAATTTTGGGGTCTCAATGGATTTTGGGGTCCCCTTGACATTGGGGATCTCATGGCACTGCCAGGTTTTGGGGTGCCTTCCGATTTTGGGGTCCCACAGGATTTTGGGGTTCCATGGGATTTTGGGGGTCCCATTGGGATTAAAGAGGATTTTGGGGTCCCACTGGATTTTGGGGTTCTGTGGGATTTTGGGGTCCCGTTGGGATAAAAGAGGATTTTGGGGTCCCCTTGGCTTTGGGGGTCTTGTGGCACTGCCACTGGATTTTGGGGTCCTGTGGGATTTGGGCCCTGCCAGATTTTGGGGTCCCACAGGATTTTGGGGTCCCCTTGCCTTTGGGGGTCTCATGGCACTGCCAGGTTTTGGGGTGCCTTCCGATTTTGGGGTCCCACAGGGTTTTGGGGTTCTGTGGGATTTTGGGGTTTTGTGGGATTTTGGGGTCCCATTGGATTTTAGGATCCCGGGGTGTTTGGGCACTGCCAGGTTTTGGGGTCTCATTGGATTTTGGGGTTCTGTGGGATTTTGGGGTCCCATTGGATTTTAGGGTGCTGGGGTGTTTGGGCACTGCCAGGTTTTGGGGTTCCACGGGATTTTGGGGGTCCCGTTGGGATTAAAGAGGATTTTGGGGTTCCCTTTGCTTTGGGCATCTCGTGGCACTGTCAGGCTTTGGGATGCCTTCCGATTTTGGGGTGTCACTGAATTTTGGGGTCCCAATGGATTTTGGGGTTCCCTTGACTTTGGGGGTCTCATGGCACTGCCAGGTTTTGGGATGCCTTCTGATTTTGGGGTCCCCTTGACTTTTGGGTTCTGCGGGATTTTGGGGTCCCACTGGATTTTAGGGTGCTGGGGTGTTTGGGCACTGCCAGGTTTTGGGATGCCTTCCGATTTTGGGGTTCTGTGGGATTTTGGGGTCCTATTGGATTTTAGGGTGCTGGGGTGTTTGGGCACTGCCAGATTTTGGGGTCCCACAGGATTTTGGGGTCCCACTGGATTTTGGGGGTCTCATGGCACTGCCAGGTTTTGGGGTGCCTTCCGATTTTGGGGTCCCACTGGATTTTGGGGTTCTGTGGGATTTTGGGGTCCCATTGAATTTTAGGATTCCGGGGTGTTTGGGCACTGCCACTTTTTGGGGTTCTGTGGGATTTTGGGGTTTTGTGGGATTTTGGGGTCCCATTGGATTTTGGGGTCCTGTGGGATTTGGGCACTGCCAGGTTTTGGGGTCCCACTGGATTTTGGGGTTCCATTGGATTTTAGGGTGCTGGGGTGTTTGAGCATTGCCAGGTTTTGGGGTTCCACGGGATTTTGGGGTCCTGTTGGGATTAAAGAGGATTTTGGGGTTCCCTTGGCTTTGAGCATCTCGTGGCACTGCCACTGGATTTTGGGGTCCCACGGGATTTTGGGGTCCTGTGGGATTTGGGCACTGCCAGATTTTGGGGTGCCATCAGGTTTTGGGGTCCCCTTGGCTTTGGGGGGCTCATGGCACTGCCAGGTTTTGGGGTGCCTTCCGATTTTGGGGTCCCACTGGATTTTGGGGTTCTGTGGGATTTTGGGGTTTTGTGGGATTTTGGGGTCCCACTGGATTTTAGGGTGCTGGGGTGTTTGGGCACTGCCAGGTTTTGGGGTCCCACAGGATTTTGGGGTTCTGTGGGATTTTGGGGGTCCCGTTGGGATTAAAGAGGATTTTGGGGTCCCATTGGCTTTGGGGGTTCTGTGGGATTTGGGCCCTGCCAGGTTTTGGGGTGCCTTCCGATTTTGGGGTCCCTCTGGATTTTGGGGTTCTGTGGGATTTTGGGGTCCCATTGGATTTTAGGGTGCTGGGGTGTTTGGGCACTGCCATGTTTTGGGGTTCCATGGGATTTTGGGGTCCCAATGGATTTTGGGGTTCTGTGGGATTTTGGGGGTCCCATTGGATTTTGGGGTCCTGTGGGATTTGGGCACTGCCAGATTTTGGGGTCCCACTAAATTTTGGGGTCCCCTTGGCTTTGGGGGTCTCATGGCACTGCCAGGTTTTGGGGTGCCTTCCGATTTTGGGGTCCCACTGGATTTTGGGGTTCTGTGGGTTTTTGGGGTCCCACTGGATTTTAGGGTGCTGGGGTGTTTGGGCACTGGCAGGTTTTGGGGTTCCACGGGATTTTGGGGTCCCGTTGGGATTAAAGAGGATTTTGGGGTCCCATTGGCTTTGGGCATCTCGTGGCACTGCCACTGGATTTTGGGGTCCCACTGGATTTTGGGGTCCTGTGGGATT